AAGCGAATGCAACTAGTGAAGTTTTGACGCTTAAAAGGATAGGATATACTAAAGGCTTAAGGTCATCACCTTAATGGACAAGGGATTCCATTCCAATAGGCAATCGGCCTAAAGTTATGAAATATTATTCCACCTCGGTGATCGGTATTGTATTTAAACGATCCCATGAGCAATCGGCTCATAGTTCCGCCTAAACACATACCTCCTAAGGGTAATCCTAAATATAGCCGGGGTTGGGCCACGGGTGGTGTGTGCCAATGGTGTAGTGCTAAAGCAATTTAAAGGCATGCATAGCAATTAATGACCAAACAACACTTCTAAAATTCGTTCAAACACATTCATTCCAAACACCAACCTACAAAACAAGGGTTAACAAAGACTACACCCCTTATACCACCCGCCTGCAAAATCATTTAACACTATCATTAGCGAGACGTACCTGGGATCCTTGCAAGCACAAAACACAAGCATATCATTCTATCTAGGCCTAAGTTCACTTAGAAAAGGTAGGATATCCCCAGCGGAGTCGCCAAGCCTGTCGCGCCGCGCTTTTAGGGGTTTTTATCGGGATTTGCGCGCTAAGGAGGTATTTCCGTATAAGGGTCTCTCCCAAACCATACCTCACGTGACAGTGGAAGGTGATTTCTAAATTTGTGATTTTGAAGTCGCCACTAGTCATTATTGGTAGGTAGACTAGAAACCTAATCGAGGTACGGGAGAAATACCCCGATCCTACGAACCAGAGATTTTGAGTACGGGGACTTGGTTACGTTATTGATCCCAAATTGAGATCCCTAACGCCCTTTCGGTACCTAAGAACGATATGATGTCTAACGTGTTATGCGAATTTCTGAGGCTTACCCACAATCCTATCCTTTCTAATCGCAGGGAGACCAAACAAGTATTTAATGCACAATCAAAATCAATCAAGTCAATCAATCCTAAGTGGTCTCTAAAACAAAAATCAATTTAAACACCCCAAACCCTAATGAAGCTCTAATAGCTTGTTCATTTCATGATTTACGTATTTTTAGGGTTTTAGGTTTTTTTTTAGGGGTTATAACCCCTAAATTTGGAATTTTCCAAAAATGCCACTTGGGCACTTCCGAAAATTCAAATTTCACTTTTTATGGCTGGCCACGGTGATTTTGAATCATTTTGTGAATTTTCAAAATTTTTGATTTTTTTGATTTTTTTTGATTTTTTTTTTCAGAAAAATTTTTAAACCGAGAATTGATTTTTTTATGATTTTCCGAAAATTTTTATGAATTTTCCAATTTCTCAAATTTTTTTTATTTTCTGAATTTTTTTATTTTTTTATTTTCTGAATTTTCTGAATTTTTCCTTAATTTCTTTTAATCAAAACAAAGAAGAAAATCCAGAAATATAGCAAATGGAATCTAAAAATTCCATAAAAATAGTCATTAGTCTTCTTTCAAATTCAATTTCATTAATACAGCATCAATTTTGAAAAATGTCAATTGGGTATGTGTTTTTCCAAAATTTGACAAAATCAAACCCAAATTGAGCCAAAAATTCAAAATTTCCTCAAGCGGAGTCGCCAAGCCTGTCGCGCCGCGCTTTTTTTTTTTTGGGTTTTATCGGGATTTGCGCGCTAAGGAGGTATTTCCGTATAAGGGTCTCTCCCAGACCATACCTCACGTGACAGTGGAAAGTGATTTCTAAATTTGTGATTTTTAAGTCGCCACTAGTCATTATTGATAGGTAGACTAGAAACCTAAACGAGGTACGGGAGAAATACCCCGATCCTACGAATCAGAGATTCTGAGTACGGGGACTTGGTTATGTTATTGATCCCAAATTGATATCCCTAACGCCATTTTGGTACCTAAGAACGATATGATGTCTAACGTGTTATGCGAATTTCCGAGGCTTACCCACTAATCCTATCCGTTCTAATCGCAGGGAAGACCAAAAAGTATTTAATGCACAATCAAAATCAATCAAGTCAATCAATCCTAAGTGGTCTCTAAAACGAAAATCAATCAAAACACCCCAAACCCTAATGAAGCTCTAATAGCTTGTTCATTTCATGATTTACGCATTTTTAGGGTTTTAGGTTTTTTTTTTAGGGGTTATAACCCCTAAATTTGGAATTTTCCAAAAATGCCACTTGGGCACTTCCGAAAATTCAAATTTCACTTTTTATGGATGGCCACGGTGATTTTGAATCATTCTGTGAATTTTCAAAATTTTTGATTTTTTTTGTTTTTTATTTTATTTGGAAAAATTCTTAAACCGAGAATTGATTTTTTATGATTTTATGAAAATTTTTATGAATTTTCCAATTTTTTCAATTTTTTGATTTTTCTGAATTTTTTCGAATTTTTTCAATTTTTTATGGATTTTTCTAAAATTCCCGAAATTTCTAATTTTCTAAAAATATCTAATTTTTTTTATAATTTTTTCTAATTTTTTGATTTTTTTGATTTTTTTATTTTTGATTTTCCTAATTTTTTTATTTGATTTTTTTTATTTTTTTATTTTTTATTTGAATTTTTAATTCCCGCTGGCGAATTGAACCGGACCGGACCAGTTCAGACCGGTTCGGCCGAGACCGAATCGGCCGGCAACGGCGCCGGCGCCGATCACCTCCTCCGGCGAGGGCGAGGTCTCGCCTCGCCCAGCGAAGGCGAGGCCGACCTCGCCGTCGTGACCCAGGCGACGGCGAGGTCTCGCCTCGCCTCGCCGGGCAAGGCGAGACCTCGCCCTCGCGACTCCAGCGCCGCCTCGCCGTCGCTGGGTCGCGACGGCGAGGTCTCGCCCGCCGGCGCCGTCCCGCGCTCGGGATCGCGACGGCGAGGTCTCGCTCGCGATCCGCTCGCCGGGCAAGGCGAGGGTCGCCGGCTCGACCGGGGCCGGCGACCCTCGCTGGGCGAGGCGAGGGTCGCCGGGCCCCGACCAGGGGCCAGCGACCCTCGCCGACCACTACGCCCACCACCGCTGGCCCTTCCCGGTGGTGGTGGGTTGGCGGCAGCCCTCGCCGCTGCTGCAACCTTATTTTTTTTTAAATATAATTTAATTTTTTAAAAAAAGTACTATGTCAGCGAGCTAAACGGCGTCGTTTTTGGTTTTTAATGCTGACTGGACCTCTCCGGCGAGCCGTGTCAGCGCCACATCGGATTTCCGGCGAGCCACGTTAGCATTGGCACTAAAATGATCATTTTTCAAAAAAGTTAGCACCAAAGTGATCCGAAAAAAAGTTATGGCACCAAAGTGATCTCCATACACAAGTTGTGGCACTTCTGGTGTACTTTTGCCGAAAAAGTTTATTTAGAGTGGCTTTTATATTTGGGTTAATATCGCGAAAAATCCCAAACTGGTGCGCCTGTGACAATTTTACCCTAAACTAATTTTTTGACCACAAAAAACCCCAAACTGGTACACCTGTGACAAATTTACTCTCAGTTTATTTCCGTTAAATTTTACCGTCAAATTGCTTTGTTAAATGATATGTAGCAATTGACGGGTGCACCAATTTTATGTTTTACCCTCCGTTTGTCACAGACGTACCAGTTAATGATTTTTTGTGGTACTAATTCAATTTAATGGAAACTAACAGAGAATAAATTTATCACAAATATATCAGTTCGGGATTTTTAGTGATAAAAAATTTAGTTTGAGGTAAATTTGTCACATGTGTACCAGTTTGAGGGGTAAAATTGTCACAGATGTACCAGTTTGAGGTTTTTTGTAGTATTAACCCTTTATATTTTTACTTTTAATTTTTAAAAATTTTGCCGTGCATACACTTTTGACATGCTCGAAGTATTCAAAGTGTGCTTGTATTGAAAAGTAGATTCCAAAATACTTTTTTCTCTTTGGAAATTTATACACATCCTAGTGGGTAATTTTTTTTTGGGGTCAAATTTTAGCGGGTAATTAACAAAGTTGCTTTAGACTTTCTTTAAATCAAAACAAACATCCAAGTTACCCTAACATTTTGCTCAAAGAAAGGAGCTTAACTGGCAAGCTATAAATCACCTTAAAGAGTATTTAGCTTAAAGTTGCAAATTTTACTCGTAATGCTACCCATTGGGCAAGCCCATCACCTCTACCCCATCATGATGCGAGTGTGGAGTGCAAGACGGACAATACCACTAACAAACTAGAGGGCTTTTATGCCTTCAACGGGCTTAAGATGAGCTTGAATAGACAAATACATACTTTTGTAGTAGACCTTGAGGTAATTTATGTTGCTATTTTTTTTTTTAACCATTCTTAAGGTAGATAGGGCCTAGGCAAATTCACATGACAGATAAGTCATTTGGGGCATGACCACAATCCAGAGAAACTACAAGAAACTTGTGACTTCTTAGCTTGAAGTATGCTAGTAGATCAACCAAAGTCCATGACCAAGAGAACAAAGAGAACAATGCTCACTTACCTTATCCCCACTTTTATGATAAGTGGGAATTGAATTATTAGAGTCGATAAGTGTGCTGGCTTTGGGGAGCAAATATGCATGGGCCCTAATCCTCCCCACCACCAATCTTCCCTTTTTTTTTTCTTGGGTTTTGTCAAGTCTCCCCACCACCAATCGAGATATCAAGTAGCATCCAAGAAAACCAATCTTCTCTCCTCCTCCTTTCTTCCACCCTCCTTCTCCATAATTGCTAGGCAAACAAAACATTAACAAACAGTGAAATCAAAAAGTTCCTGCATAGCCCCCAGTTCATCTGTTGTCTTTGCATCAGAAACTTATTGTTACTTTTTTTTTTATCAATTCTTGTAACCAATGAATCCAATCTTTCTTTTCTGAGAAATTTGGAGTAAATCCCCGTGAGAGGCCAAGAGAATGAAAGTTTAGAAAGAAAAAGATGAGGAAGACCGCAAAAAGAAGAGAGGAGAGAGAGATGGAAAAAAGGGTCAGATTTAATAAGGAGTGAACCCCAATAATAAAATCGTTGTTGCAGATCCTAGATATTTCTTATTTATATGTACAGGCGCCCAAAGTCCATATAGTCTATGCATTGCCACTTCTCCTCCAAGTCTTCTCAAGACTTGACGATCTCTCCCTCTCTCTCTCTCTCTCTCTCTCTCTCTGCAGGCAAATTTCTATTTCTATGGACACGAGGACCTCGCTCATGGTCGCGGATGCTGCTTCCGGTCCGAGCTCAGGGTCTCCCATATTTTTATCAGTGAGTCGTTCTCTTCTCATTCTGTCAGCAAGATAGGAAGGCGGCTGCCGATTGTTGCACTGCCTTCTACCGTCGCTTCTTCAATCGCCCATTTCCCGGGTCCTTCCTCCGCGCAATCAGCGACCCCAGTTTGATTTCTTGCTCCGGTTGCAGATTTCGCCTCCGCATTAAGATTTCGCGTTTTAGTCTCATCTGGGTTTTGCGCTATCTCGGTCGATGGCTTTTGTCCCTTGTTTGGGTTCTTGGGTTCTTCTTCTTTGTTTGAGCTGTGAAGCCATGAATTGGAGTTACCCTATATGGAGCTTCTGAAAACTTGCCCCTTCAATGAATGTGATTTTCGACGCGTAGCTTTGTATTGACTGAATTTGCAGCTTTCAATGGGCTTGTGTTTTATTATTGCTGGCATGCTTGCACAAATTTGATAGCGCTTGCTGTGTAGTTGACCCTGCAGTTTCTTATCAGAAAGAACTTTCCTCTCTGACTTTGTAGATGAAATCAATCTTCGCCTGAAGATGTGAACCTTTCAGAAAGATGTGATTTTGCAGGGCGCTGATTAAACTGGGGCTGGAGTATTTTAGTGTGAGTTTTGGATATTGAGTGTACTTCGAGCTATTCAGTCCTTATTGTTTGCTAGAGCTGAAACATGGACAGAACAAGACTAGACTTGGCATTTCAGCCATCTGGATCGGCACAGTCAGAGGAGTCAGCTCTAGATTTGGAAAGAAACTACTGCAATCATCAGAATTTGCTGTCTTCGAGTCCATCTCCTCTACAGCCTTTTGCCTCCGGTGGGCAGCTATCTGAAAGTAATGCTGCTTATTTCTCGTGGCCTACTTCGAGCCGTCTGATAGATGCAGCAGAAGATAGGGCAAACTATTTTGGGAACCTTCAAAAAGGGGTGCTTCCTGAAACTCTAGGTCAGTTGCCAATGGGGCAGCAAGCTACAAGCTTGCTTGAACTGATGACAATTAGGGCATTCCACAGCAAGATTTTGCGTCGGTTTAGTCTTGGGACAGCCATTGGTTTTCGTATTCGACGTGGGGTTCTGACTGATATACCGGCAATTCTAGTCTTCGTTGCCCGAAAAGTTCATAAACAATGGCTCAGCCGCATCCAGTGTCTACCCGCAGCCCTTGAGGTGAAACAAATTGGTCCTTCTCTTCTAAGTTTTGAGCACGAATTTCATTGATCTTTCGATGTAACTTTTTTTAAAATCTACGAGATCCTTCAATGTATTTTGAGATCTGAGAAAATTCGTGAACACTGAACAACATAAAATGATCTACTTTATTACTTGATAATATCAGCAATACGTAGGTATCCTTGTCAAAAACTGACTTGGTTCATCAATCGCATGAGAGAGAGAGAGAGAGAGAGGATTTGAGAAGCAATTGTTAGGCCACTCGTGTTTGAAGTTACAGAAATAAATTTGTTTGTTGTGCTTTTACTGACCTGCTGACAATGTGGTTAGTTTCAATCTTCCCACTTAAATTGGTCAAATAGACTGCAATTAGCATGGCTTAAAAGCTTCAATGGAATAACTTGAGAACCCTAGTAGAGTAAACTAAAGGTCTTGAAACATCTACTCTGTCATGGAGCATATTGAGCTGGATTAAATATGTGATTTTGGGCCTTGCAAACTCGGAGAAGCTGACTACCTCTACAACGGATGTGCAGGGGCCAGGAGGTGTATGGTGCGAGGTAGATGTTGTGGAATTTTCTTATTATGGTGCACCAGCTCCTACACCAACAGAGCAATTATACAATGAGCTTGTAGATGGCTTGCGGGGTAGCGATCCATGTATTGGTTCTGGTTCTCAGGTATCCTGTTAGTCTCCTTTCTTATTTCTTGTACAATACGCGGTAAATTACATGCAATGAACATAATTCTTTTCCAATCAGGATATGGATACTTATGTCAAATATTAGGCATGAAAATTCTTCTATTGCTAGAATGTTTATGATGAGGAATAAATTTCCTAATCATAATACTATAAGAATTATTTCAATGGCCTGCTTTAAGTTTCTCATTTGCAGTGCTGTTTGGAGTCGTCTCAATGTGCTTATGCTTATACTGTTCTCCATATCTTAATTCTCAATTCTTACTCAGTAATGGACGTTGTACAAGGAGAGTAGATCATCTTCTCTTGAAAGAGAGATGAATGAAACAAAGGGAAGAAAAGAGAAGAAAGTAGTTGTTATTTGGTTTCCTGAAAATAACTGACTAGAAATTGCTGGCATAATTGGAATCATCTTGATTTGATGGTGTAGAAATAAATAAGAATGTGGTAATATATTATGGTTGGAGACTTTCTTCGGGTTTAGCTTCAACTTCAAGTGCATTAAGGTTTTTCAGGAAGTGAAATTTGATTTGTTGGACTTGGTGGGGGATTCCTATAGTTGAGCCTTTGCTTAAGATTGAGAAAATTGAAACATGAGATACAATGAGTAGATGAAATTCCTCCCAATAAATAATAAGTGGCTATTCTAATTTCACTGTGTAGGAACTGTCTGACTTTTCTTTATTTTTGAAATCTGTATAATGAGATTCTTTCAAGTTGTCTCCTCGTTATAACTATGTTAAGTAGAAAGTCTCATTCTTTAGGGTCCACTTGAAATTTTGGATAAGTGATCATGGGAGTGAGGCCAGGAATCTAGGTCCTTAAATTATTTTTTCTCATGATTCATCAGTATTTTGCTTCTAGTATCACTTTTAAAATATCTATTCTCTCGCTCTCTCTCTCTCTCTCTCTCTCTCTCTCTCAGCTGATAATATTAGTGAAAATACCATTGGAAGCTCTCTTATATCATAATCTTTGTCTTTCTTTACTAACAGAACTTTCATGACAAACATGTTGATATGTTGCTACAGTCAAATTGATATTTGTTGTTGGCATTGAAGTTAAAAAACTGAAAGTTGCATCATTGGATATGTCAACATTGGAAATATTGGACTACAAAATATCTGAAGGTTCTAGGGCATTCCTTTTTTTCGAGTGGCTACTTTATTTTCCATATTAATGTTAGTCTTCACAGATGTATCTTACGTTCATTTTAAATTTTGGTGTCATGAGCACATACAGTTTAATATGTTAAAGTCCATATCTCATACCTCTTTTTCCCCATGACACAAGCATTATCATTACCTTTGCTGTAGGATCTATCGGTTCATCTTCTTCTCTAATTCTCTTCTGTGTTTTCAAATGGTTCAGGTTGCGAGTCAAGAGACATATGGAACCCTGGGTGCTATAGTGAGAAGCCGGACTGGTAATCGACAAGTGGGTTTCCTAACAAATCGGCATGTGGCAGTAAATTTGGACTATCCAAATCAGAAAATGTTTCACCCTTTACCACCCAGCCTTGGACCAGGTGTCTATCTTGGTGCTGTTGAGAGGGCTACATCTTTTATAACGGATGATCTTTGGTATGGCATCTTTGCCGCTAACAATCCAGGTAATACTGGATCCTGGATTGTCATCATCTGGGATGCTACTTATAGAATAAACCTTTGAAGCAATTTTTCATGGGTTTGTACGATCTTTTTTTATTTAATTGTTAATCAAAGTGAATGCTAATTCAAGGAGATGGACAAGGATAAATGTTCCTTTGTCAGACAGTCTCCTAAGGAGGGACAAAACATGTGAAGCACAGATCTGTAACATTCATATATGCAGCATTAATCTGATTATACTCTTCTCGATACCATACTTGTGGCTGCACATCTTCGCGTGGGTTGTGATAAGATGTGTACCCTGTATATGCCTTTACGGAAACAGATATAGGGAAGAGCTTGTGTATCAAGATAAGCCCCAGACATGCTGTGGAAGCCACATAAGTTGGCCACGGGAGCAAGACTGATCCTCATTAAAAGCACTTTGTCTGATCTTCCTGTTTACTTCATGTCATAGCTTCATGTATCAGCTTCTATGGATTGACATCAACCTCGAAGTTACAGAGTGGAAGTGTGAAGATGGATTAGGTGGATTGGGATGTAGTTTTTCCATCTTCTTGCTTCAAGATTGTTAGTGGAAAGCCAATGTTCATCTTCTTGGGTATTGGTGTGGTCATTTTCCTTTAGAAAATATTTCTTTCAAATTGCCCCACATAACAATGCTTGAAAAAAAAAAAAAAAACAATGCTTGATTAGTCCTTACCAAAAAAAAAACAATGCTTGATTAGCTTTTTTGTTTTTTTGCTTATGCCAAAGACCTTTGAAGAAAACTCAGGACTCGGGAGGTTTAGGTTTTTGAAAAATTCTTTTACTCAGCTTTATATTATAAGAGACTGTTATCTCTCTCCTTGGGTGGACAAGCCTATATTTGTTCTAACAGGACAGGCTGTATCACTGTTATATCCTCATTACAGAAGTTTATCAGTTCTCAAGTTGAGGGGGAAAGAATGAAGTCTCCCTAAAAATTTATTTTGGATCTTCCTACTCCTTTGACAGTTGTCTATTTCTTTAGGGTAGCTTGGGAGTAAATTCTGTGTTCACCTTCAGAAACTGAGTATTCCTTTCGACAATAGTTGATTCCTTTGTCACACAGAAGGATCCTATTAGCTGACAAAACAAATATTTCCTTTTATTATATACGATCCATGTTGCTGACTCCACTTCAGGGGAAAATGTTCTGTTGCTGCAGCTACTCTTACTGTTGTTTGTCGTAGACGTGAATTTTGGACATTTGTGCCCATGTCTTCTTTTCTTAAAATACAAATCTTCTAATCAGACTTCTGTCTTGTACCTTGAAATAATACTGGTGTTTTCTTATGCAAATTGAAGCTCCACCATTATAGCTGATGTCACGTGATCTCTATGTTTTATGCCCTTGCTTGCTCATAGGAGCAAAATTTCTTGAGTGCAGTCACTGGAAGCTATAACTTGGGCACTTAACAGTAATACTTGTTATGCTGTTAGCTTCTTTATTCATAAACTATTGGGAACGCCAGAAAATTAAGAACATAAATCCAGTAGCCCAAACAAGATGTAATATTACAGTGCAAGAACTAAAACTTGTCAACTTCATGCACTTAGGTCTCAAACTTCCATTTCGTGTATTCGAGTCCTAAAATTTGTAACTTTTGGTCCAATCGAGTCCTTCTGTCAATGGAAGGAAGGAGTTAAAGTGCATTGAAGTTGCAAGTTTTTGGAGTTAAATGAACAAAATGGAAGTTTTTAGGACTTAATTGCATGAAATTGACAAGTTGTAGGACTTGCCTTGTAATTATCCTTAAACAATTTATGTATGCTTTCAGCACTGGCATAACTGGGTCAGTTGTTCTTTGTTTTAAATTGTTCAAAGAACTGTAATGAAGGTCGAGCCTTGGTATAACTGTAAGGTTACTCCTCTGTGACTTGGAGGCCACAACTTCAAGTCACGTAAACCACCTCTACTCAAGCAGGGATGAGATTGTGTACATCTGACCATCCCAAGACCCCACAATGTGGGAGCCTCATGCTTTGGGATGCCCCTTCTTTATTCAAAGAGCTGTGATGAATGTCTGATTTGATTTTTCCCAACCGTTCGAACCTCCATTGAATTTACCCTAGTAATTGATTAAGTCTGCCTCACTTCCTTATTCCAAATACACTGTTAGTTTCCATGATGACCATAATATATTCTCTTCCATTAGAACATTCAACTTTCGTGCATAAAAGCTCATCTTTTTTTTTTTATATATTCCAGATTAGTTAACTACAGGTATTTTGAAAAAAAAAAAAAACTACAGGTATAAAAAAGTTCATGGGAGCTTTTGCCTATTTCCCAGACAGGCTTAGCTCCTGTAGTAACTGAAATATTTTGTATATATTTAGTTCTCAAACTTATGTCATCTTGTTCCAATAATTGGACAATCATTATTTTTTTTGTTGTTTTATGTTATTCACTTGTGCTCTATTCACATTTCTTTTAATGTTGGCTTTGTGAATTCATTGACATTTAAATACTTCTTCATAGATTATGAAATTACATGGGAGAAGCTCAAGCATCTTTGCTTGCTTGGTTTGACACTGGGGCTGTGCTCTTAGTCTCCAGATGACTTGCATTATAAGTTTAAGCAGCGAAATTTCCCAATGACGACTGTATGGATTATTCTTTTGAGCTATATGCTGTCTTGCTCTGTAGTTTTTCCAGGGGTTTCCTTATTCTGATCTTTAATTGAAAGAGAATATATGAGGGCTTGCTTCACATATTAGATCTCCTGATGTTTGAGTAGGTCATGACTCGTTTTTCTAAAATATCTCCTGATGGCTGTAAATAAGAGATTATATCTCTTGCCAAACGTTTATCTTTTTGGTCCCATTCACTCATAAATATCAATTTGAATTGGTTCTGTGGCAGAAACATTTGTGCGAGCAGATGGGGCCTTCATTCCCTTTGCTGAGGATTTTAATATGAACAATGTGACTACATCTGTACGAGGAATTGGTGAGGTTGGCGAAGTTAACACTATTGACTTGCAGTCCCCAATTGGCAGTCTCATTGGAAGGCAGGTGGTCAAAGTCGGAAGAAGCTCTGGTTTGACCACTGGAACAATCATGGCATATGCCCTTGAATACAATGATGAAAAAGGTATTTGTTTCTTCACTGATTTTCTCGTAGTTGGGGAGAACCAGCAGACATTTGATCTTGAAGGTGATAGTGGAAGCCTCATTCTCTTAACTGCTTCAAATGGCGAGAAGCCGCGACCAGTTGGGATCATATGGGGAGGAACGGCTAATCGGGGCCGCCTAAAGTTAAAGGTTGGCCAACCTCCTGAGAATTGGACTAGTGGAGTTGATCTGGGGCGTCTTCTTGATCTTCTTGAGCTCGATCTCATTACAAGCAGTGAACGTCTTCAAGGTCTGTATTATCTGAAAGTTTTATGAGAAATTTTCCTGATTTACTGTGCTCTTTTACTTCTCTCCCATGTCTGGCATTTCTAAAGTTGCTTTTATGTTTCTGAGTATAACAAGATACTTAAAAATTTAGTCGAGTATAACACTGGGGAAAATTTGCCCAAATATTCTCACCAGCCTTTTCGGTGTCCTAGTAAATCAAATAACTAATTTGTATGGATCTATTCAATCGTTAACATATAATTTTCACTAAGCAAACATTCTACACTATTTTACTTGACATTCTTGAGCATTTTACTTTTTCTTTACGAGCCTTCCTGTTTTATTTTACTGAGAAACTTTTTCCAAAATGCTTGATAATCGTAGTGAAATAATGGGGTAAGTGTCTTAGCTAAACTTGGGCTGTACCATTTAACAATATTGGTCAGTCATATTACAGTTTTGACGAGAACTTAGAGATGAACTGCGTTGAAATGTATGCGTAGTTAACAGTGAAGTTCCAAGGGGTCTTATGTTTGGTGTTCCCTATGTTTTGGGTTGGCAATTCTACTTGACATTCTGTAATTTGTTTCTTTATTCATCTTTCATTGTTTTCTGGGTTGCCATTGCTACTTAACATTCTAATATCTGTTTCTTTGTTCCTTCTTCATTGTTTTCGGCAATTGTAGCTGCAGTTTTGGAACAAAGAAATGCTTCTGCAGGAAACGTGGATTCAGCAGTGGGAGAATCATCTCCTCCTTCTAGGCATCTTTCCAGAGACAAAACCGAAGAAAACATGGAGCCTTTCAGCTTGAACAACCAACAGGGCCCTCTCGAAATTGACACCAGCCAGGGTATGCGCCGTGAATTTCACATAGAAGATGGGATTGAAGCAACCCCCAGCATCGAACATCAATTCATATCGAGCTGTTCCGCAAGATCGCCTCTCCATCAGAACAACCAACAGGAGAACTCGGAACTCAGGAACCTGTCGGCTCTAGCAAGTAATGCCGACGCGGAGGTCACTGTTTCGTTGCAGCTGGGAGAGCCCGAGCCGAAGAGGAGAAAGCAGTCTGATTTTCAATTGTAGCAGAGGGAACGAACACGAATTTTGAAGGTGGAGAAGATTGATTATCTCGCCTGGAAAACCCACATTTTCGTCTACTGCGAGTTTCATGCCGGCATCCGAATGAACGAATGCTCGAATCCACTCGGGTGCATTCTCGAATCTCTCTAGTTCACGGTTTGCAATCGAGGCTATAGCTATTAGTTTCATCGAGAGGTAATAATTATGAGCTTTGAGTATTTCCTATTTTAGTGTATAATGTGGCATTTGTGCAACCAAAAAGTCATCGGTATAGGTAGAAAGATGGGACAGTACAAAAAGGGGAAATTCGGGGGCGGGGGGGACTCATGCTAATTCTCTTTGATTTGTATTAGTTAGCCGAAAGAAAATAAAATTGTGCTGTATGCACTCCTCAAGAGGGAGTTATGGAAAAGTACTGGAAGAAGTTACATGAGTGAGATATTATTTCTTTTTCTGTCTTTTCTTGCTTGGAAGCCTTTGCTTATATATTTATATATTTATTTTCCTTTTGTTGGGTTGGCAATGATAAATAATTTGATTTCTTTGTCCTGTAGATTGGATTTTATACATAGATACGTACATACATACATATAAAATTTGAAAGTATCACGTCTACTTCGATTTTTTTCTTCACTTATGTCGTCCAATTTGGTCTTGAAATGCACAGCTACTATAATCAATCCTTCCATTATAACCATTACTACGATTTGAAGTGCTGACGTAGTGGTTCCAATTATTGGTTGAATAAATCCAAATCCAAGATTTCGATTTTAAGTAGACGAAGAAAATGAAGTTATTAAATATTGAGAGACGATGATTGAAAGACGAAAAAGGATAGGGAAAGCGGTTCCTGCCCATCACTACCTGCAATACAGACCTCAAAATTGATCAGGCGGCGACAGTGAGGATCGAGAGGGACGATCTAATGCGCACGTTGAAGCAAAGACATAGCTTTTGCATTCAGGCCCGACGTCAGGAATGCTACGGCACGCATCCCTTCCAGGAGGATAGTGGTAGGGCAGCTCCGGAGATGGTGGTGAGCAGCTCAACCCTCCAAGAAGGTTTGGCCATTGATTGGGATTGAATAGTATTGGGGCATGGTTCATACTTCCCATCAATATGAAGATATGGCCATTGATTGAAATTGATTAGTGTTGAGTTGGTGTTTGAGCTCATATTTTATTGGTAGTTTAGGCATAAGCCTATAAATAGTTACTAAGTATATATAATCTCTTTCTCTTATAATTGAAGGATATATAATAGGGATGTGTGAAATTCTAATTATAATGGAATCCTCTGCTGGAAATAACCATAGTTTAACAGTGAACCAGTATAAAAATCTTGTGTCTCGATTTCTTTTTCTCACTTTTAATCTCTACTTCCTCATGAACCAAATCCTAACAATTAAATCCTAACAAATAGTGTTGAAGGCTTAAAGTTTACTGTTTATTTTTCACTTTCTTCTCTTTTTCGTTTCTCTATCGTGGTTCCATCGAACTCGATTTGCTGGCAAAACATAATGTAAGATATTAGGCGTCCATTGTTCTCTTTGATATGAAAGACTTAATGGGGAATAGACAAAGAACAGAAAGAAAAAGAAAAAATGAGGGACAGATGCAAATGAACTGACATGAAGGGTTAGGTCTTTCTATGATTGCAAATGGAAATCCTTCTTGGAATTTGGGGCTATTGGCATAATAGACAACACAAGAACGCTACGAAAAACTACATCCGGATTAAATGGAAAAGGAGACTTGAGATGAAAGGGAGAGAAACATAAAGTGGAGGCTAATATGCGACACCCGTGCAAGGAAGAAATAACTTGTCCTTCCTCGATGTCACCACACTCAACTCGAAATAAAGTTTCTAAGCATGGTACAAAAGTTGAATCAATTAAATTCAGGTCAAGTTAACCAGCGGAAAAAGAAAAGTTAAAACCAAAACTAAGATAGGTGCGTTAAGCATTAAGCATAACGATGCTTAATGCAAGGAGATAACAAGTCAGCAAGAGGGAGTCGATCAAAGTTGCCACATATTTTGGTGCAGATGTTTCAAAGGACAACATCGTTTGTCAACTAATCAAAGTCACTCACCCCAATCGAGTATATGAACCTTTTTGAATGCTTTCATCGACCTTCCATGCTAGGCTTTTCGTTTACTCCAAATGTCCTTTTTACAAAACTATGTTATGATGATTTCGAGACCACCATCAATAGATTATATGCCTCCAGGCATGAAAAACAGGGGACAGAAAGAACTACCTAAGCCGAACTTACGAGTATGGAGGTAATAATTTGGGGTAATTTACTAAGGACAAACAACCGAGTATACAAGGCATTAGGGATCATGATTAAGTTCGGCAATGGAAGCAGGAAGGCATGAAGGACCTGGATTAGTATCGCTCCAAATGTCCAACCTCTACCCAAGAATAGAAGAGCCCACGATCACGTTCTAGTTCTCAGAAATTTGAGTTTTCTCTCGGACTGAAGAAGTAGCTAAATCTTCTGCTGTCACTGGCTTGTGAAGCTGCAGTGAACAGATAAATTCATGATTTAGAAACAGAGACCAAGAACCATATCGAATAATTAATCAAATCAATTTAAATATCCAAAGTAAAGCCTCCTCCAACACAAGTGTATGAGGTTAAAGAACTTAAGATGAAACACAGCAAATTTAAACAATGTGCTTGTGCATTGATGAGAATCCTGTAGGATCTAGCTGAAGAGCTTCAACTTGTCATTTACATATCTTCTGGAATCTCTGGCTGGGAAGAAAAGAGAATAAGATACAAAGGTCTGTATATATCTGCAGACAAGGGGGCATATTCTCTAAAGTGGACTCCATTTAATTTCGGCCAAGTTTTGGTGGATGGCTGGTTGCATTGATATAACTCAACCCAAACAAGAGTCCCAAAATGATTGAAGTTCTTCTTCCAACACAGTTAGTAGTTTTAAATCCTAATGTCATTGCAGTTAAAAAAAGTGAACACTACCACAAAATCCTCACCAGAATTGTCACTTTACTCCAGTCAATCTTGGTTTTAAGTCCTACCAACATTGCAGTTAAAAAAAGTGAACACTACCACAAAATTCTTACCAGCACTGTCACTTTATGCCAGAGCTAATCTTACGATATACAAAGATGAACCTTAACTTATGCCTTAAGTCACTGGATGAATTCTTAAGTATGTAAATCAGACCAGTAGCAAGCAAACATCCAAACAAACAAAATCCCATGTTCCAAATCTGAGCACATGGGGTCCATTACATGTTAAACACCCTAAGTTTGAAAAAGTGATAGCAATCATCGAGACTCCATGTGAAGGGCATTGACGCAAAAGAGGTACTTACTATTCATCTGATTAATTTAGAATCATCCAGTCTACAATATAAGCTAGACCTGCTTATTGAACACGAACAAAGCATATTTTGCGCCAGATTGGGCTGGGTACTTCGTGCAGTACAATTGGGAATAATAATAGGAAATTTCAGTAGATATATATCACAAACAATCAGATGAAGAGATTTACCGCCTCTGCAACAGCAATCCAGTGAAAAGAACGCAAAAACGCATCATCTTGTGATGGAAGACAGTCGTGGTTCCAATATGTTACACTGCCAAATTTTGCTTTCATCTCCCAATAGTTCAGGTCCCCTTCAGAGATTTCTGAACCACTTGTTTCACCAGAAGTCTTCTTTCCTATGACAAAACCTGCAAGCAAGAAGTTTTCCCTCCATATTCCATCAAAACTCTTCTTTCTGTCTCACAAATTACATGCATATGTAAAGTAATGACAACTTTAGATAAAATATTGCAGTCCTAGATGTGCTTTTTAATCATGTGCAGTAAGATCATGTGCAATACAATCGTACTTTGCCAATGCAAAGCTCATCTATCCAGTACAAAGCACCCTCAGATACTCCTTTTCCTTTACTTAGAAAAGGAATAATGATATAGAACCTAGAGCATAAATGGAGTGGCTGCAAAACATCTATAAAAATGAACTAGTGAACTACTCTGGCCAAAAAAAAAAACTAATTTGGCCAAAAAATATCATCATTACAGTAAGTGGAGATTGACAAGAAGAGTCTTAATTCATAAATCATAGAAGCCTTCCAGCTTGTGGTGAAATCTCCTTTAAGCAATAGTAAAGAAGTTTCCAAGATTTCATCTAAAGATCTTAGACATTAACCACCGGATTACGAAAACTTCAGGGGGTGCTTGGTTGAACTTTCCCACCAAAATTATAAGTCAACATATCCCCAAATTAAAAGTAAATGATGGAAACTTTCAGGTGACATTCACCATTAGCATTTGTATGCATTCATAGATTCAAGGCGATCAATATTAAATGAAAATCTAATTACAAACTCAAAAAGCTAAAGTAAAACCCACCCTACACACCCCCTCAGTCTCCTGAGGAATTGCACAGCTTAGGCTCCCAACAATCAGATGCCAAATTACAGAAATAGAACTCCAAAAAAAGAACAAGTACAATGAAAGTGAATAATTCTCAAGTGTAACAACAAAAGTTGGAAAATTGGATTAGGCAAAGTCATTAATATTCACATTGGCAAGAGACCAGGAAGCTTTCTCTTAAAAAACAGCCATAATTTAACACCATAAACTGGCGATCAACAGAAAAATCATTACAAAGATCAAACAAAAAGTAATAAGAAATTTTCATAAAACCCAGCACTGGCATCCAGTAACTCATAAATAACCGATTTAAATCCTCCAATCTTTACAATGTTCAAAGCAAAAAGAAAGCACCCACCCACCCTCCAATACACACACGCACCCCACACGCACTCCCCACACGAGTGTGCAAGCGTGCACACAAAGATCCCTAATTTCCAAAGGCTCAAAGGTTTCTACCCACTAGAAATCTAGGAAACAGGCTATGAAAAACAAAAAACAAAACAAAGCAAAACAACAAAACCCTTCTTATGGAACTTATCCAGATTAACTTCAAGGGAAACAGGTTACTGGTCTCTTCCATCCAGTGAAAATGTCAATGTTAATTTTGCGGGGAGTGTCCAAATCAGAAAAGACCGCTCACAAGGTTCCCTACATGGAAAAACGAAATAAAGCGCCCCCCCAATATATGGGAGAAATGCAAAGGGATTGCAGAAACCATGCAAGTACGGCGAGCACCATACATAAAATGCGAGGATTAGCAATACAAACATCAACAGCAGGCAGCCACAACAACCTGAAAACACAAACCCAGAAAACAACTCCAGAAACAAATTATTCGCAATTATAAACAGAAAAACTGCAACAGAACGACAAATCCAAAAGGCGACAACGAACCGAATTACCGGAATATCCGCGAGGAAGCGGAACGGCGGCGCCTTGCAACTTCCGCCCCCGGAAGTAGGCCTCCTGCACGGCCAACCCATCGGCCTCCATCCCTGGAAGCGAAACGCAACGTCAAAATTCGAAGTCACCCAATCGGACACGGACACGAGCGCACACGCACGGGAAATGTCAACAAAACGAGACGGGCTCGGTTCGATTCGCGGGGAGATACGAACCGGTTGCTCTGGGCTTGAAGTAGTGAGAAACGGCGCAGGGCCCGTCGTGCTTGATGGTGCAGGGGAGGAGGTGCACGCCGCCGCTCAGGTCCACCGGCGGTTCCGGCGCCGTCAAGTCGAGTGTGCCCGTTGAACCCATCGAGCAATCCATTTCTCGACCCGAATTTCTGCCTTCTTCCTTGCTTCTTCTTCAAAACGAGTTCCCTGCAAGCCCTAATTCTGCAGTCTTCCTCTTCTTTATTGCACAGAAACCGAATTTTCCCGCGCACTGTGACCCCACAAATTCGCAAAAGGGAAAATTGACAAATGGTTACTGAACGTATAATATATGATTCATGAAATTTTAATTTATTCATTTTTTAACAAAAAAAAGAACTTCTAATTTACTCAATTTTATCCCTGTAACTTTAGCCCAATATGTAATGTCATTCATACATTTTTAAATTGTTCAATATAATCCCCGAACTTTTTGATACATATTTAATTTCATCCTTGAACTATTTTTTTTTTTCGTAATCCTTGGACTATATGAAAATGATGAATATTATCTCTAAATTTGAATTAATTGAATGACAACATTGAACATTTTTATATAATTTATGGATCAAATTGAACATGTACCAAAAGTTTAGGGATCTCATTGAACAAACTAAAATTTTAGGAACCACGTTGCACATTAGAATAAAGTTCATGGATCATATTAAATAAATTAAAAATTCAGAGATCATGACCATTTGTGTCATTATCTATTTGCAAAAAGAATGGGTGGTAATTTCGAGATGGCGAATAAGAATGGACAATTTCTAATGCAATACAATGTGCCTAATTACAGGATAATTTTTCGAAGAAATATCAATATATATCTCGCTTCTGATCCAATGACTATGTACATACTTCTACTTTTGCATAAACAATTCGCATGCCTCTTTATCAAAACTTCACATTGCAAAGATCAAATTGTCCCTCATTGCAAACTCATTTGATTGGTTTAAATGGTTTGATTTTTGTCCCTAAGTGTTTTTGGTGGGTGTGAGATTTATGATACGAAATGGAATTTCTTGGAAAGAAAATAACATTCTCGTGAATAAGGGTATTATGATAACTGATGTAAAGATACAAAGTGATCTCCAAGAATATGAAGCTTATATATGTATTTAGTAATTACAAAAGTGGAGGTAAAACTCATTGAGTGAAAGGTAATGTATGTTTTTTATATATATTTTTCCTAATTGTTTCACACATCTCACTTTTATTATCGTCGATCAGATAGTTATAGTTTGAAAATCATCCATATAATTGGTCCTTGATATGAATAGTGTCAAACAAAAGATTACACAAATTGTATACTTGATCCCACGGACACAATCCCACGAGTCAGACCACGCATAGCACGATCCAACCCAAGTGAACTTGCCCCTATGGTCACGTTCACAAACACCCTTATGCTCAAACTAGACCATGATACCCTAGTTGCACACCCGGTCACGCTGGCAACGAGTCACAAACAACCTACATTTTCGGCCAAAACCCGGTTGCTCCCGATGATTGTGCACTATAGCATCACGATTTTTGCATACCGTGGGTCCTCAACTAGTATTGCCTTGGTTCCTAGGATCTTCCCAAATTCTAGGTTCGGGTAATCTATGAAATGCAAAAACGATCATGAACTTAAAATACCATATTAGACTCAGTCACCACCCATCAGTTTGGAGAAATCTAGACCGATTGGACACTTAACCTTGGGTAGCGTTTGGAAAGTCTAACTACCTAAGTGCACAAAGGAAGGAACTGGTCTAGACATCTCAAGTCCATAGGTTTGGCCATGCGTGGGTAGAATCCCACAACATCTTAAAATAATTCAGACAATTAAAATAATAAATCATATTTCTAAATTGAACTCATAGATCATTTTTAAAGATACATCACAATTCACAATGTAACTTAAAATAATTAAAACGCTATTTGATATCATATCCATGTGCATCATGAAGAACATGCTCTAAAATTCTGTTTTTTATTTTTATTTTCTAATACCATGAATTCGCGTTTCACCGATATGCTAAATGCTAGTCTATGAGATTTTACAACACGTAGAAGAGATGAAAATCATTTACCTGATAAATCATTTGATTAACCAAATGATACATTAACATACATTTGAATTTTACCAATGGCTATCCAAGCATACAACTTTCGCTTCAAAGATAACGCAAAAATTAAAATTTGCTAACTTGTTAGTAATTAACAAAGTCAGTTTATTGTTTTAAAAGGCATGATATACTTTTCATTGAAAGAAATTTACTATTGGACGGAGAATTTACAATGTAAGTTATTATTCCGATCTCGTCAAACTTACCTCCATATTTAGTGAATTACGAGTATTCTTTTGAGTAGAATGTACTAATTTGCATCAATGCTTTCAGAGAGTTACCAGTTTTATTAAACACTTACTAACCTATCTCTCGTTTGAATGATCGTGATACATTCACTAATTATGTTTGGGTTATCGATTTTCCAGTTCTTATGATAACTATGACTATTACTAGTCGAGGTCGAGAGGTCCCAATGGTTAGCATGCTTAGCAACAGGTTGGTTTGTCTCAATCTCATCTAATCATGATAGTAGTATTTCAATTCCTTTGCCATGGTAAAAAGTGGGGAAATTACCAAAAAAGTCCTAAATCAGTATGGCAACCAAGTCAATTCTAAACCTTTCGATTATGCCAATTTAGTCTAAACATTTTGAAGAATATGCCAATATAGTCCGTTCTAGCCAATTTTGATAGGAATCATTGACGAGAAAGCTGGCCATCCTACGGGGCACAGCCGGCACTGACATGGATAATTTTTTAATTTTTAATTATTTTTCTTTTCTTTCTTTGTATTCAACTATAGGCTGGTGAGGTCGTTGGCCTACCCAAACTGGCCATAGGCAAGGCCTAGTGACCCTTGCCTAGATCCAAGCAACACACGAATGTTGGTCAGCAAGGGCCCCGACCAGACCAAGCGAGGGTTGCAATGCCCTTGCTCAGACCTGATGACGGTGGGCCAACGGCCTCGTTGGCCTAGAGTTGAAAATAAGAAAAGAAAGAAAAAGAAAACACAAAAATAATAATGAAAAATTCAGAAAATTAAAAAAAATCAAAAAGTTGTTCACGTGAGTGCTGACTGTGCCATGTAAAACAGCCGGCATTCACATTAGCGAGTTCCGGCCAAAATTGGCCAAAATGACTAAAATTGCCAAATCATCAAAAGGTTTGGGACTAAATTAGCATAATTAAAAGGTTTAAAATCAAATTGATCATCGTACATTAAATTTAATACTTTTTTGATAATTTCCTAATAAAAAGTAGTCTTAGCATATCCAACGACAAGTCTTTAAGATTAATAGATTTGTAGATTACTTATAGCAAGTAATATTTGATCCATGGTTTGTCCGGTCAACTCACATAGATGGGTAGAAATAGCAGCCCCCCCACATCCCAAGGGGAAAGTTTGTCCATCATCACGTCAACCAGCAACCTAGAGTTATATTTGTTTCAAATGGCGCCATGAAGTTCTGATGGAAAAATTGCACCACAAGTCCTAAATATTTTGTACATAATGTAATTAAGTCATAAACCTTTCAATTAGTTCAATCAAGTCCTAAACTTGAACAAAAAAAGTGCTATCGAGTCCTAAGCCTTTTAATTAGGTCAATTAAGTACTTGGCAAGCCAAGTTTTTGATATACAACTCTAGGATAGGGTACATAGTACATATACATAGTACATACTAGCAAAATACCTACTAATCCTTCCAGATCACAAAGTTGTTTGACGAAGTCTCTGGTAATTGCAAACAGCTTTCATCGGGAGGAAATAGATCCTTTACAATCAACATGGTTTGGAGCTGAGCAATGACTAAACCTTCTGGATAATCTTCAGCATTAAGTTCCTCTTAGATACTACAGGTTTGTAACAAAGTAATTTGATTTTGGACATGCATCTAGAATTGGAAGGCCACTCTCTATGAGAAATCTTAGGAAAAGTTTGATACTAAAGCGAACTCTTACCAAAGAAGAATCAAATAACATAAACAAGTAAATCTTCTTATACACGAAGAGGAGGAAATGATTGCTGGTGTCCTAAACTTTCAAAAGTACTTGAGGAAACTTCTAAGCCATGATTCATAAAGATGGATGAAACATGAAACATGGTAGAACCAAGGTTACTTCCATATAGCAAATGTTTAGTACTCGCGAAACGAGAATAAGAGCATATATTTCTATAGCTTTTAAATTTTCTAGCGGGATGCAGATTGACAAAGGATCAATGATCAATCGTGTTGGACCAAATGCACTACCTAGATTAGAGATAATTCTAACTCGAAGTCTTAAAACCTCAAAGGCAGAACAAATCAAAGAACAAACTCTTCAAGGAGGAAAATACTGTTTCATGGGAAGAACATTTTTCTGGTGACAATTCAACAAAGAAGAATATGATCATCAAATTGTTATTGGATTGTTATTAAGCAAGTATGGCTATTGAGTCAAACACCTTGACTTAGCAACTACCTTGAAGTACAGGCAACACAATCATCTCCCCATTTTCACCAAAGTACAAAAGTGAGCAGCCAGTTAAATAGATACTCATGAGACTCTAGAGTCAGCCATAAATGACTTCATCATGGCCAGAAAATAAAAAAGCTATATATAACTTTATCATGGCATTGACACATTACTATGCTACAGAATACAAACCTCGTAAGCGGAGCTCAACATACTCCATCCCTCCATAACTTAGAAAAAGAACAGAGTTAAAGGAGGGAAAGAGAAAAACCTAAGGACAGAGAAGAGGTTGCCTGCCAATTAGTAGCATTAATATCACAAACTAATGTTGTTCTGCAACCGATCCATCGTTGAGTTGATCATTCGATGAGTCATAAGCGGCATCAGCACAAGAAGTGTCCATATCATTCAGACCCAAATCCTCATTCTGCTCCCACGACCTTTGATACTCCTCAACTGCAAACAAGTCGGGCAAGAATTGTCAGAAGAGAAAAAATGGTTCATTGACACAAAGAAGAGAATTACTCAGCATGCATCCATCTTTGGTCACATGAAAAAATTCACTCTATGCTGGAACACAACTAATACTTCCATTAATGTACTTGTATAGCTCCCTCGTAAGTCTCATTTACAAGTTGAGACATTATATGCAAGTTATTGCGTATCTCAGATACTGTCTCTTCCTTTTGGGATAAATATAAACCCTCCCCTGGTCAACAGTGGTCAGACGGATCTGTATCTGCCACTGCCGGTGTCAAACCCTGTGGTTTCCTTGGTAGGCAACATTTGTGCAAGAAACCTGCCTGGATGAGATCATGTATCTTTTGCCATCAAGACATTACCAATTGGCAATACTGGAAGCTGCAACATTACCACCATCAGAATTGCCTCTTTCCCATAAAGAATCGCTGGCACCTAAACGGACTACTATATTCTCCAACACTTACAGCTACTACAAAGGGACATATAGTCCTCAAGCAGCTTTTTGGGCACTTTTTTGAAAATGAGGACAAATCATTAATACCAAATGTAAATTTGCCAATGTAGCCTCCTTTTTCTTTTTCCAGTAACATGTCAATCTCACATCCCAATAGTAGTAGGACAGGCAAGCTAGTAGGGAAAAACAAACTTACATGTCAACTGATGGTCGTCCTTAATATCGTCAGTTATTGGGGCAATGAAAGAATTTGCCAGTGCATCATCCAGAACCAAAGTCCAGTGGTCCTCCAGACTTAAAAGCTGCAGCATATTCAAGCTTCCAGAGTGACTAGACGAACATAAGCAACTACTTGAACTTAACAGAACAAGCCACGAATGTCTGAAGCAGATAATAAAATACTTCTTTCCTTCTCAAAGGACATAGTGAAAGAAAAACTAGCCATCTATTTCTTGCTGACTGAGCCTGCTTCATCTGTGCTGTTTGGATATGATTACAGCTGATTTATCCAAACACCCCCCCACCCCCCCCCCCCTCAAAAAAATAAAAAAATAAAAAAGAACAACAACACCAATTCGGAAATGCATCCACAAGGAGAATGTTCATAAAGTACTCAACTTGATGAAATGTGGAAAAACCCCATTGCTTCGATTATATTGTGCTCTAATTACTTGGAAATTATACGAGAATACATGTTATATTATGCAGAATGTGAATTGTAATGTTTAAAGACTTACAATTAAGTTATTTAATAAAGTCAACTTTTCTTTAGCAATGGGAAAATAGGTGGAAATGTACACTGAAATTCACCAATCAATGATCTGACAAACTAATTTATATGCGTACTAAGCAGCTTATTTCTCGGTAAATTCCTGCGTCATACCCTAATCCAAAATGATTTTCGCATCTAATGTAAGGAATAATTACCAACTGCAATATATGCAAATTAAGTGCTGAAAGTGTTAACTTTCAGAACTCAATCACATCAGAAAAGCCTCTAAAGAGTCCCATTTCAAGCTGTAAGAGGACAAGTTCTTTCAAATATGTCTGCACCTCAGCTGCCAATTGACATTTAAAGAAAATGAAAGACTAAACTAAAAAGGGGTGAATTAAAAGGCCTGCAGTTGGTCCCAACCTCATTGCTAAACCAAAAAGCAAGTCCAAGCAACAGGAGATACTCACGAAGTATCTTATATGTTTACTACTCAAAGCCAAATCCTAGCAGTGAGAATAGAACATCTACAAATCATCCTGTGGGGATTGACTTTTAGTTCTAAATTTTTCCCTTCATCTAAATCTTGTAACTCACACGCTAACATCTTAGTTTTTTGAGGTAACTAGGTAATAAGTTGCACAATAAATAATTGAGGTTTCGATCAATTATAAGGTTCTAAATATTACTTTGAGAACTTCGATTTCTCTATTCATTGATTTTTCTTGATGAAATCGTTACTGCATATGTTAAACTGAAGGAGATTATTGATGATTATGGAAGTAAGATCTAAGAAAAAGTTAAGTTTCGTAAGGAGATAATCTATATATATATATTTTGATAATCAAGGAACCGCACGTACGGCCGACAGCCAACAACGACTATACCTCAAGGGGAACTAGCACAGCAACCCACCGCCATGGCCCCCCACTTAAATCGCGATAGCAGTGCTGGGGAATCGATCCCAGGTATTCGTTTGTTGTGTCTACTAAAATTGCTTTAGCATGGTAGTATTAGAAATCAATTCAGGTTTCACGAAGGAAAGAAATAAGAAATGTTTTCTCTAATTTCTTCTGGATTTGAAGGTTTAATTGTCTGGATTCGAAAGAATGTTACTAATCAACTAAAAATTTACAATAGTAAAATAGTTACTTTGTTCATAAGTTACAAACGTTAACCGAGACTTCTAGTAAACTATATAACAGACCCACTTGTAAAATCTAAAAAACAAGCGGTAAGCCACTATTGGGTTTGTGGATGGTAAAATTATCATTTAATAGTTAACTTACAAACAGTTATACAACCAATTGTAAAAAAAAAAAAAAAAAAAAAAAAGCAGAAATCTGTTATTGTGTTTGTTTATCGTAAAATTGTAATTTCATTGATAATTTCATTGATAGTTTTTAATATTTAACTTACAAGCGATTATGCGCCTACTTGTAAAAATCTAAAAACAAGTGGTAATACACTATTGGGTTCGTTGATGGTAAAATTGTCATATCATTGGTAAATTATAAATAGTAGACTGGACTAACAAATTACCAGTCACTTTTTACTTGCCATCAATATTTACATATTTACCATCCATGAAAAAAATTCCGTTTTCGGCAAAACTGAATTTTTGGAATCTGCTCCATCTCATCATGGCACTTCCACACTCAATTAATTGCACAGTCCTATCAGTAAAAAAGTTGACTCAAAATAACACGTAAAAAAGAAGAGCGAAGGAAAAAAGGAAATATGCAACATGGGATGACAGATCATTATGAAGGGAGGCATATCTAAACAATCCTTCAACCTAATAAAAGTTTTTTCTTTGCAATCATACTTTACCTTCCGTAGTCTTTCTTTAAAGTCTTTCCACTTTGCTTTCTTGTGATCATCCAGACTATCTCCAAAAGTAAATCCATGCACCCTCTCAAGGCCTACAGTCATAGGGATGTTCACTTAAGTTAAAAACTGCCTTATTGACGAATATACTACTGACCATTATACATACAGAACAAGAAATGCTCTCGGAATAATCTGCTAAACAATCTTATAAACCTTATCACTTGAAGTGGAACCAATGAATAAACTATAAATGCACACAAGACAATCAATTCGTGGTACTTAAAGTTTCCAATTTTCTATGTATCCATTGATATAATCTTTCCACCCAATTCTTCAAACAGACAAACATGTTGAATTGAAAATGAAATTATTCACATAAGATGCATCTTCCACTGAGATTTTAAAGTCAGCTTGAGATCCCATGAAATTCCATGTCTGAAATCATATCATCCCTACTCTTAAAGTTCTTTGATAATGCCATCTCTACATTAAAAAAAAAACACTTTGCAACTATTATATCAAGTAATTAAACTCATAGTCTTGCATGTGTTGATTAGGTGCATGGCATAGGTTCGATTGCACATAACACCAAGTGCATATAATTTCATATTTGGGCCACCTAGCTATGCTTTGGCTTGCATCTTACTTGAACCATGAGGTAAGAGGAACATTTAAGGGCCGAGGTTTTCCTATCTGAGATAGGTTTCCTCATTAAAAAAAAGCCTACAATTTGGACAAATACGATCGATTCCATTTCCTTGACTCAAAAACTTACTTGAACTTCTGGAACATTTTGTAATAGTATGCGAGTGATTTTAACAAGGTACTTACTTGGTGAAAATAATTATCAAATTGAAGCCCAGCAAGCACATTTACATTCTTAAAAGCAACTAAAAATCTTTTCTATCAGCAAAAACATTTTAGAATAAGTTTTCAAGAACTCCCCTGAACAACCACTTAGTTCGTATCCCAAAACATAAAGATATGCACCCAAAAGAAGCCGGATGTTTGCAAAGGTAGTAAAGAATCATGAGATAAATGACAAGCAACTCAATTGACTTCAATGAGAATATCATTCGATTAACTTGCGCCAAAAGTCCAACTCAAGAGCCAGGCACTAGCCCGACAGTGCAGAGTCAATGATGAAATCATCTCAGTTCCGATACCACCAGTAATCATCAGTTGACATTCATTTTTAACAGGGTAGGAAAGCCTCTTTTGAGCAAAGACAAACTTGACTATTAGGCATTTATTGTTAACTCTGTTTCCACGTCACCAAATGGCGATTCCAACTGATTAACATTAGGATTTCCAACCAGGCATGAGCATCATTTATGTTCAATTTCACAGCATGCAACTCAAACATAAAAAATACTTCATGTGTGCTTCAGATCTATATTTGGCCTCACTCAATTCAATTACAAAAGGTAAACCAAACTGGGTACACAGGACAATAAAGTGATAGAATGATAGAACAGAGCAGTATGAATACTCACTTTCACTTATCTTGGAGATCAATCCTTCAACAGTGGTAACGACTCCACCTAAAGTGCCACTCGCAAGCTCCAACTCAAGCTCTGGAACACTCACGCTGGCAGTATCAGACTACAGAAATTCATAAAGTTTCCAATCAGATGAGAGTTTATGACTGTAAAATACAAGAAACATCTTTCAGCTCTCATGTATTAGTTCTAGACATATTGATTATGCTTTGCCACATACTCCTCGATTACGTCTATAGCAGTCACACAACATCATAAAACAAAGAAAGAATAACGATGTTTTCTTTCCTACAGAGTCAATCTACAATAAACAGGTTTTGTTGGCAATAGCTCATGTAATATTTTGATTTCATTCCGTCTTTCTGTTCTTAAAATCCCTTCTCTCTGATCCTGGGCACCAAACTTGTGCCTTCATCAGAATTTCTTCCTTCAGTAATCCTGAAGGCCAAAGAAAAGAAGAGAAACTATATTCTGGCCATTTCCACTTTCCTTACTCCACAAAAAAGGGAAGAAAACAGAAATAACTATCCTCAGGAACTAGAAGTTCAAGCTCTGGAAAAAATTTTCCTACTCATAACAATCCTTCATTTGCTGTAGAGATCTTATGGCAAATTTGCTCTGCATCATACTATGATAGAGACATTAAAAGTATGAAGAAAATAATAAAATGCTGTCCACGAGTGTAAGGCAAGGAAAGTGACTAACATGGAGGGAAGTAATGGAAGGTCCAGGTTAGAAAACCAGGACAACAATCGATAACAGAATTAAAAAGAAAATGTGAAACTTTGATGAGATCAGAAATTAAAGATGAATGTGAAAGCCAATGTGCATTCTAGTCAAATAGGAAGTGGGAGACCAAAGCAGTAATTATTTCATGTCAGCTGCTGTCTGAGGATAGAAAACGACAGATGAGAATGAAAGCCAGCGGCACAAAAGAGGGCAAAAGACTTCAATAAAGAAAGGATCGAGAAGATAAAAAAAATTGTTACCCAGGAAAAAACAACAATCCAGAAGACAAAAAAAAAAACCAAAGGTGCAAGAGGTAGAAGTTTTGATTGAATTATTTGATAAATATCTCAGGTAGAAACAGTAGTGACGCACTTGACGTAATGAAAAGTGGAGTCCTGTCACCTGAAATCGAGAAATATTCTCTGTAACTTATCAGGACAGCACTGAAACTAGGAGGAGCAATCCAGGAAGGCATAATACAGAACCTAAAGTAGTGCAATATTACACCATCCAAAAGCTGTTTAAGTTTATGGTGGGCGAAAATACTGTCCTTCTCTCTAAAACCTACGAGCTTGGGGCAGAGGCAGCTGAAGGTAACTGAGAAGAACTCACTAACACTGAAGGGAAAAAGTGAGGGAGGACATAGAAGGAACTTATTATACTACATTGTCATAGACAAAGAACAAATGGCAAGGAATCAGAGAGAAAGGAGCCATGATTTTGCTAGACCGTTGTCATTATTTTCAAAAACTGATTATCCTGCTTTCAGCAATTGAGAAGATAGAAATTTGACTTTCGTACAGCTAGCCACTTCCTTAAACCAGTTCTGACCACCATAACAAATTAGAGGTCCCGCACAATGCATTATTTGAAATAATGTAACTACTGTTGACACAATGGATAAGGTGATGGAATCTAGGAAACAACCTTTCAATGGGCTATGAGCTCATTGTGATGTCAACATTTAAGTCATTATTGAATTAAATCAGCAGAAGCAGGAGGCAGTCAGGAATATATGGAACACGAACAAATAACGAGATAAGATTAACATAAATTGCTTGCAAGAATATCATCCAAACCTTAATAACATCACGGCTTAAATCTTCTGTATTCTTCACACAAAGAGATATTCTCTTCCCCTTCTCAGGAATTCGACCACCAGGCTTCAACTGCAAGATAAAACATTAATGTTGACAAGCTGCTATGGTAAATAAACGACAAAGTACATGGACTAGGAGTAAGCTACACGAACAACAACTGCAAACCTCTGAATTACGATAACCACAGGCATCGCATGTCGACGCCATCACAATTACTTCTTGAAAGTATGGGATATCTTCATGACTTAAGCTCAACAAATATGTATTTTGAAAACTGTATCTAAAGCTCCACACATAAAAGCACTATCGCCCTTCAGAACAAACATACCCTGTTAATAGTAACATATAATCCTAAAGTTCCAATCTGTCCCTGACTATTCTTAGGATTTTCCCAATGGATATTTGGTCTTTCTGCCCAGAGAGAATTCTCCTCCTCCTCCTGCTTTTTACTTTCATAGATATATTAGCATGTCATCTAAAGAAGAAACTAATCCTTGTCCTGCTATCTTATATCTCACATAACAGACAGCTTGATTATGTCAAGTAATTTCAAGCATGAAGAAATAGATTCATCAAATCAATCCCAGATTAATAATTACACTTGTTTACTGTTTTTTTTTTTTTTTTTTTTTTGGGTAACCCAGGGAACCTCCGCACGGCCGACAGCCGGGAGGTAAACCCTGGGGGCGACACGTGCTAGCCACCACACACGTGCACCGGTTAAGTCACCCTGCGGCGCCTGGAATTCGAACACCCAACCTTTTGTGAGAGGAAGAGTGCCCTTTCCAGCAGCGCCACCCAGGCGGGTGGTTACACTTGTTTACTGTTACTGAGCACATATTCTAAAAAATAGGATAGAGCCAATACACAATTGAGATTAACAATTACACTTGTTTACTTTTACTTAGCATATGTCCTAAAAATTGGATGGAGCCAATACGCAATTGAAATATCTACTAAAACCATAACAAAGTAAACCAGAAGAAAAGCTCTCCCATGTCAGAAAAATGAATGTCCTATACATTTACTCATTCAAAACAAAAAACCACGGATGTATACTAGAATATTAAAACTACTCAATTGACAAAACTATCACCAAGTGTCATAGAATTGAAAAGGATACTGGTGACGAACATTCGAGTTTCACAACTAGCAGCACAAGCTCCACAAGTCGAAGGGAAAGTCATAACCTATTAAAGAGGAGATCCATGAGCAATTATCTGAAGCAATAACAAAATTGCCAGCATGGCCACAAAGCTTCTTTTCCAAAATTGGCAACACTTACTTCTTCGGGCGCTGAGTAACGAAACATAACATCAGCAATCTCTACACTATTACTCTGAGCAATTGCACGATGAGCGGCTGCTGCTCCAACTGCACCATGCGGTTCTCTTCTTCTTGGTTCTGGAACAACACTTTCCATTTCCTCTGTTGTCACTCCATCACCAACTTCTCTACACTGTGCAGGGTCGACAAGGTACCCTAATAAAGCTTGTTGTTCTGGTGTCCGCTCATAAAACTTGATAGTAAGTGAGGGATCAGGGGATGGGGCAAAACTGTTGCATGTCAATATATTTGTTCAGATAAAGAATTTACAGGTACCAATTATATGACAATCATTCATGAACTACCCAATTGAGGCCAGATATTCCTTACAGGTTCTCAATGAAGCTGTTTCCAGCGGGATCATCCAAGATAAAGGTAAATGGAGAATCTCCTGAGGCACAAGCTTTCAGTTTTAACAAAAACTGATCAATCGCTTCAGCTGTCTGCGGGTCCACTTTCTGGAAAGAGGGTGTTTGATATACTGAGAGACAATGCACACAAGTAATACAGCAATAATTACTGGAACTAAGATTTTCAGGAACCTTGCGTTCTTCTTGGAGGGCTTGCAGTTCTTCTGTGGCTCGTACCAATATCCCTTCAACCTATGCCCATAAGATCATAGGAGATGTTATTAGAACTGCAGCAGTGACGAAAAGTAAGAAAGAATGGAGATGAAAATGCTGCATATTGAGGACATCTGAATCAGAGACTGCCTATGCATCTTTAAATCTATTACACAAGCAAATCCAGAAAACCCGAGATTTTCAGGATATCAATGAACTTAATGAATTACTGCAGGAAAACCCAGAAAGTCATCCAACTATTAGCCACCTAACAGATTTAAAAAGTCTCCGCTTGAGAAAAAAAATAACAAAGGAAGGTGCACTGCATCAGATACGGACAAAAGAAGAATGCCTAATCACAAATTGAAAGAAAGAAAGGTTTAGAGGCTACCGTTGACAAGGATCCCCTTTGAGCCTCAGGAGGAATTTCGAAATCCAATTCAGGAATCTGCGGTAAAAAGGATAGCTAAATTAAACTCCCGAGTGCACACAGATAAAATTATCCAATCAGTATATTTAAAACAAGAGAATTCAAACGTATTTGTCAAGGAATTCAAAAGCACAAAATAGCCAAAATTGCTCAGAGGTAGATGAATACGTGTGGAGATCTAACTTCTGGAAGTTCAACTGAGATAATATAAGACTCCTCATTCCAACAGCCATAAAGGTTCATGCTAAGCAGCAGTTTCAAGAAAAAAATTCCAATTAAATGGACAAACTGCCTCATCACAGTATATAATGCAGAGATAGCAAGCTGACTACTTTGGCATGTCATTTTCCAAAAACATGGCCCAGTAGCACATTCACCAAATGAGTGCTGCATCATCACGATAGAGCCACTTGAATCCAAACATGTTTATATATCACTATGCACAACTAGCCAACATGCAACTTAACCTGCAGTAACATCAAATTACTGAAGCAAGATTGGGCTGCTCTTTATTTTCTTTTTGGGTAGGGGAGAGCCAATGAAGTGGAAAACCGGTACATTACCTAATAGATTACACATTGAAATACCTTGATAGTGGCAGATTCAGATTTCACAACTTGCCGGTTGAGCATCTGCAATCATAAAGCGTCTACAATAAGTACATAAAAAAGTTCGCAGGATGATCTTCACTTCACTCTTCATCAAGAGAGATAATAAGCACTGGCATTCTCAATACAGGGAACAGCAACCCACAACCAAGATACTACCTCATCAAAACCAATGCACTGCATGTGTAAAATGCGAAACAACAAGAAATTCAACATAATCTCTTTTTACACAATGCAAAATTAAAAGTCGCAAACGAGTCAACACCCGAAAAAACTAATATACAAATTATTAACTCCTAACAGTATATCGGCAGCTGCAGTTTCATACAATGAAGATCTTCCACACAAACTCTTTTTACACAAAGCGAAACTAGAAGTCAATAAGGTTAAAAAGAAAAAAAAGATGGCATCCAAATGACCAGACAACATGTCAGCAGCAGCAGTTTCATTAACAAATTTAAGAAACTTTACTTCGTCCTTTCACGACAAACAAAAAGGAGGAACTATAAGGAGAACAACAAAAATCATGACCAATTAAAAACGAAAAGCATCAAACTCCAATTAGCAAAACCTTCTGGTCGCCTGCAGGAACCTCCAACCTGTAGCAACATCCCCGAGGTTGGATCTCGCCAGCAAACTGAACTTCATTGTTCCTGCGACATACAAGGGTTCAAAACAAACAAACAAAAATGCCGCATTTGCAACAAACTACCGCAGTCGCCAAAGAAGAAGAAGAAGAAGTTAATTTACCTCTCACCACAGTGTGGGCAATCGAAAGCCGACAGCAAGACCTGCAAGAGCGGGAAGAATTCAGTTAAAAAAAAAAAAAGAACCAACGATCATTTGCAAACCTCATCGAAACAAAGCATCGACATACCTTTCTAAAGTGAGGAATCAACGTAAGCAGGAATCTCGTCACTCCCTGCCGACCAAACGATGATCATTCAGCGAAAAACGAAGACAGGGGGCACAGCAATTCGTCATCGCAAGACAGTAAGCAATCGCCAACGAACACATTGCGCGCGAGAGAGAGAGAGAGAGGGAGGGTACGTTTTCGTGGCAGCGCATGCAGAGGCTCTCGACCTGGTAGAGAGGGGCGCCGCCGGCGTCGTCGGCGGAGATAGCTTCCACGACCGACCTCACGTCGATTTGCTCCTTCGTGTCGCTCGCGCCCATGTCGTGGTCTTCTTCCTCTTCCTCGTCGGCGATGTTCCAGTTTCGCTCGGACGGTGGAGGAGGAGGAGGAGGAGTCTTAAACGGTCGTAGGGTTGGGTTCTTCGGAGGCTGCTGCGGGGCCCACTAACGATCCCGACAGAGAACTCCAGCCCGCTCTAGATTGTGCTATTTCCCGCATAACTTCGAAGCCACGCGTAAAATGCAGACAAATGGTCCCTGAGTTATTACTTAACATGCAATATGGTCCCCGATATATAATGAGATACGTGAACTTTCAATTTGGTACATGTTCAACATAATTTCTGAACTGTTTGAAAATATTTCCGTTAATACAAGTTCAAGGACAACCTTGAATTTTTTCATATAGTTCATGAACTAAATTGAATATATACTAAAAATCTAGAGATCACATTGAATAAATTAGAAGTTTATGAATCACATTGCACATCGGGTTACAATTCAATGACCACATTAAATAAATTAAAATTTCAGAAACCATATTACATATTGGATCAAAGTTCAAAAATCATTTGTCATTTTCCCGTAAATATATTCTTTAATGTGCAAAAAGTGTAGAGTAGAAAGAAACAATTTTATTAACCAATATTCGAATTATTATATAATATAAAAGAAATTACGGTTAAAACAAAAGTATGTAGAACGTCGTATAAATGTTTATGGAAAGAGAAAAATATTTTGAGATCTGGAATCTTTTTAGGAAAAATGTTCGTATGATAGAAAATATCCAAATTTTAATATAGAAAAATGTGAGAGGTAAAATGAAATTAGGCATGTGGCTATGGACACGATATTTGTAAAATAAGTAATTAAAGAAATTTGAAGGAAGATAATTATGTATTGAGATTCCTTAGAAAATTAGCTAGGTCTCCTTTTTTTTTTTATAGTAGTTTGGATTTCTATTCGGTGCACACACAATATATGTATCTAAGAAATTGCTATTTAAAATATTAAGTAAAATTAATTTATTACAAAACATCTGGGTAATTAAATTAGGAAAATAAATTATTCATTAAGATGAATAATACAAAGAACTTGTATTAATATATGTGGAAAAGAGAAACATATTTCAGAAAAGGTTGTTGTTGGATATAAAAAAAAAACTGCATTCTAATATTAAGATACGGGAGAGATAAAACTGAACCATCAGCTTACTTATTTATCCATGGAGAAATTATTTGTGAAGTAATTAATCAAAGATATCTCGGGAACGAAAAAAAAAATTGAGTTGAGATCTTTTAAAAGTAAGATGATCACTTTAACCTTTCAAATTATATACAATAGATTATCTCCCCATACAAAGATCAAAGTTCAAGGTCCATGGACTCATCCATTTAGTCTTATGTTTTTAGCTGAAAATTTGATTTTCCTGAAAAATATTATCCAAGACGTCACAATATTTTATAGTGTTTGCCTGAAATCTAGAAATGAACTCGAAATTATTTTCCATCATTTTAAGGAAAACTTGTTAGTATTTTCTCGTGTTATTTAAAGGCTACATATGCTACATCATTAAAGTATAATATAAGTTTTATTGAGTTAAATTTTTCATAACATAAATACTTCTATAAATTGTAAAATAATTTATTTTTTTCTCTTATGGTTTTTGTCGGCATTTGTTTTATCATTATGGTTGAAATAAGCAACTCTAATGAATGAACAAAATAAGTTACTTTTTATATGTTGTGTGATGGAAACTAAATTATTATGTTTTTCTCTCCATATGATATGTGCTAACTATTTAAGTAGACCTTTCTTTCTTTTTTTTCGTTACAAGAACTGTTCACTATTTTTTTTGTTTTCGGTTACAGTTTTCTCCTTGTACACATTGTTTCTTTTTGATTTTTCACCTGTGTATAGCCACCTTGTACATATCTTGTCCACCTATTCAAATTTGAAAAAATGACATGAATGGTCCCTGAAATTTGGCCCAATATATAATGTAGTCCCTAAACTATTAATTTGTTCAATGTGATCTCTGAAATTTAGCCCAATGTGAAATATCGTCCTTGAACTTTAAATTTATTCAATGTAGTCCTTGAACTGTTGATACATGTTCAATTTAGTTCATAGACTATATGAAATGTTCAATATTGTCCATCTATTAATTCAAGCTCAAGGATAGCATTGAATATTTCATATAATTTAGGAACTAGATTGGACATAAACTAAAAGTTTAGAGACATATTGAATAAATTAAAAGTTCTGGAATGACATTACACATTGAAATAAAGTTCAAGAACTCATTGAACAAATTCAAAGTTTAAGGACTATATTACATATTGAGTCAAAGTTCAGAAACTATTTATGTTAGTATACCTTTGGAATATAATGAGGTGAAACCAGAAAAATATCAACATACTAGAGCACACACAATAAATGACAACGAAGGAACCCATTGTCCTCGAAAGAGCCACGTAAGCAGGTGATTTCTTATCTTTCTGGATCCGATTTGACCACGAAGTGTTCGTGTTTTCGAAATCTGCGACTACAAATGTGGAAACCGTTTCAAGTTCATCTCTTGCTGGAGGATGTCCAAATGTCCCAAGTACCTCAATTTTGAAACCTCTTGAAAACCTTAAAAGTGTAGATGCCACAGGGGACTCCTGATCGGCCTTTGGGATTCCTTGGATTTGGGCACAGCCGCCTTAAACTCAGCATGAGCACTGCGGTTTTGGGCTTAGCGTTGAGAGACCCAAGCTTGGCTGCCAAGGTACTAGACTAGAATGCCGAGGACCCCAGGTCAAGCGTCGGGCCTAGGGGTACTTGGGTCGAGCCGCTAGGTCACCAAGCCCAAGTGCCTGGATTTCGGTCGCAAGAGCCAGAGTTTCTTGGTTCAGCCACTAGGAACTCATGCATGGGCACCTAGGACCCGAGCACGAGCACTAGGGTCCTAATCCAGCCTTGAGGGACTTGGGCCTATCCTCGGCAGACTCGAGCTTGGCTGCCATGGAACCAGGCTCGATGTCGATGGACTTGGGCCCAAGCGCAAATGAATTGGGCGTGGGAATAGGGTAATCGGGCATAGTTGCCGACGACTGAGGCATAGGCACTAGGATCTCGAGAGCATGGATATAGGTGTGGGGTCTCGGTACCCGAGCGTCAAGACCTAGCCATATTTTAAAAAATAGTTTCTGATTATGGGATAGGACGCTTAAGTAAGCAATCCATAACGGGACAGATTCAAATATGTCTTGGAGGCCCATTCTGGGATGTTTCAGCGGAGCGCATATGTTTCACAAACGTCCCACTGTAGCGGCTAGCGATACCGCTCCACAGAAAAGCACAAAAGATAGTAGAGTGAAAACCAAAACATAGCATAGATTGAGATTACACGGATGAACCGCGCTAATACATTCAGAAATAAATCAAAGAAACAGATCACACCCATGTCATAAGACATATAGCGGGGCAACATAGACATCCATAAAAACAAACACCAGACTTCAACAAAATTAACTCGATTAGAAGTAGATATAAAGATAGAAACAACACTGGAGGCATAGACATAGGATAAGTGTACGGAAAGCCTTAAAACTTTTAAAAAGTACAATCAAGTCATAAAACTTATCACGAAAGTTTAATCGAGTCCAAAAACTTTTAAAAAGTGAAATCAACGGAATGACTTGATTGGACTAATTTGATAAGTTTTAGGACTAGATTACATTTTTAAAATTTTAGGACTTAATTTCACTTTCGTGATAATTTTTAGGACTTTTAATGCGCTTATCCCTATAATTAAAGAGGTGGAGATTCTGGACATGAACGGCCCTCATTGTATGGTAAGACTGTCGTGTCAAGATCCACTTCTTCCTCTTCTCGTTCCGTTAGATGGCAAGTTGGATGGATGAGGTCTTGTTACTCTATTCTCGTGGTGAATATGCCCTGCCCACCAACAATATCAAGAACTTAAAGCGACGTAAACAACAATAGCTACCTTCAGGTAGATGAACAATAGTCAGCCAAGTGCAAACGCGCAAGTGTGGATGGGGGGCCTCCCTTACGGCTCCATCGATCTTCAGCACCACAAGAGGTTTACCTTCCTCAATGCGAAAGAACTTTTCTTTCAAAACTCTCTTTCCTCTGTCTTCCAGTAGATATCCACTAGGCCTAAAGATTATAAGGACAGTTGGCCAAATGTTCATTGTGGTTATCATGGTACTCAGCCCACTTTCGTATTGCCCCTCCTTCAGGAGTGATGACTTTGAAATTCTATATGACAAGACGAAGTATGAAGTTGTGAGAGCAAAGTAACCCCTTTCGAGTTGATCAGCGTATCCGTGAGTTCATTTAGTTTGATGATAATTTTTTCGTCGTTCTTGTTGAAATTATATCTCGAATTTAAGCACGTGAACGAAAGCCAACCCAAGATAAATCATAAAGGAAGCCCGGTCGATCAAAGAAAAGTCACCAAAGGTGAATATTTGTGTACGTCCGCCATTGAAATCTACATTTCCAGTTTGGCATTGGAGTCCAAAGTAATATTAGACTTTGACCGTAAAGAGGAAAGTCAATATTGGAGTCCAAGTCACGGGAGGAAACAAATTTCCTGTTTTTGTTTCGGAATACATTCAATGCATGGATTCTTAGGGCTTTTGCTTTTTCGTGGGCTGTGTGTGTGTGTGTGTGTGTATATATACTTGTGGTTTTCTCTGTTGATCACGAAGAATCGGTATTGAGTGAGTTGTCTTAGATTGTTGCGGCCGTAAGCTATTCTGCCCGTAATCCAAGGTGGGAGCTTTTACGTCAAATTACATCCGGAAAAATTCGAGAGTATTGAAGGCAATAAATCTTGTGATAAAATATGCTTAATTCTTTCGTGAGATTGAAAAATTATTTCATGAGAAATTGTGAAGGCTAAAAATTGTGTGTGGTTATTCGATGTAATAGGGGAATGGGAAACACCAAGAGTAATTGAGTGATTTGAGTATAACTGTAAATTTTTGTTGTATAGTTTGATTTATAGTAGAATGTTTGCTGCTTTCTCCATGGACGTTGGTTACACCAACTGATCATGTAAAATCTAATGTTCAATTTATTTTATTGTTTTGTTTA